GAAACATTATCCTAGAATCATTCTAAACCTTGTGCTCTAATTACCAAGTTTGTCACAACCCAGGGGTACCCCCTAGATGTAACACGTCGTACTTGACCCCGAAGGGGTCTCATACAAGCCCTTTGAATAATCACGAACATAAGTAAATAGAAATGATGCGGAATTTAAAACTTTTACAATGGAAGTTTTTTTCATAAAAGGAATATAAGAGTTTAGACCTTGTCTCAAAGGAACCATCTAATACAATCGAATACAATCTTAGGGACATATCCCATTACATCATAGTCTTGAAAATGGAAGTACAAAATGAACTAGAAATGAATAAGCCTTATCCTCGAACCACCAGGATTCACCAAGCTTGGAGAATAGTCAACCCAAGCTCTACATGAAAATAGAAGTATACCTTAACGACCGGAACCTACACTTATAAGAAAATGTGGAGAAATATGGGTTAGAACAAATATTGTACTAAGTATGGAAGCCATGCATAGAAAATTCTTAAAACATGCATAAAAGGGTCATTTAGTTGAAATCATGCCTTTATCAAGTTTAAAAGCCGTCATGCACATTTAGAGTAATTACATAGTCGAACCATACCATAAGCAACCCTAGGTTACCATAATCATGGATAACATACCTTGACCTCATCCATAGCAAACACTCATAGACAAGGAGTCATTCATGTTCATATCTTAATATAAGTAAAGTCACTCTTAGTAACAATTCATATCTTGTATACATAGTTTCATATATCTTCATAGCAAAAGGAAACCACACCAGAACCCCTTTACAACTCTACTTGTGCAATGTACAAGTGAAATCCCGTACCCCCACTCACACTAAGTAAAGCTCATTAAGAAGTCATAAGTATAGTTCATGTTCATGTTCATGTTTATGTTCATGGTTCATAGTCATGGAAAATATACATTAACTCATAAAGCATCATGTCATAAAAGAATATACCATAATCACTCTTAATGCCTACTTGTGCAATGCACGAATGAAGTCCCATACCCCTATTCATACTAAGTAGAACCTCTCAAGTAATCATAGTACATAACTCATGTTCTTGTTCATAGTTCATATTCTTGTTCTTGTCATGTCATGGATCATGTTCTTGTCATATAGGGAAATATAGCCTTAACCGACATAGACCATCTGAGCTACATGGAATCCGATGTCATGCCCCACACCGAAAAGAGGTGTCCTACTTGCCTAAGGTAGAACTAACATGTTTAGCATTTAGGTGGATCCACTAGCTAAGGATCTATGTGGGCACATAGTTATGGGATAAGGAGATTACTACTACAAACCCAGACTAATTGAGGTAAAAGGTTTCCATCTCATGAGATAACTTACCTTGGGAAGCTGGACTTTCTAACGTAAAAGCTGCCATATCAAATTCATATCCCCTCGGTGCTAAGCTCAATTCCCTTTAATATTTATGTTAGGACTTTACTTTATATTCATGTTCATGGAAGAATGCCTAACACTCAAACCAACATGGTATAATGGTAGTTCATGGATTCATTAGGTTAGAATGTCCTTTCAACCTTAGAACCATTAATACGAGAGTAAACCTTTCACATCATGTTCATAATTTTTCATAAGTGTAACACTCCGTAAAATAATAGGTTAAACTAGAGACTAAACGTAGGGTTTGAATTTATAAAAATGACTCCCCATAGATTAGTAGATCATCTAGAAGTGTCATAGAAGTTTTAAGAGTCAAGGCATATAGGTCAAGTGCCAATCCAAAGGGTCAAGCCAAGGCTGCCTGTAACGACCCAGAAAACTAGTAAGTGACACTAGAGCCTATTGAGTTTGTGTTTGAGTTTGATGTGGGGTTTCAAGGTGTAGAATGATGTCCCGAGAGTAGGTTGAGGGGTTTAGGGGTTAAATGTCAAGGTACGACTCCCCAAGGACCACCCAAGGGGTCTTTGAGGAGGACCCTAAAGCCTAACCTCCAAGACCCCAAGAAACCAAAAAGTTGTCAAATATATGGTGACTCACGGATGGGACCTACACCCTGTCGGTCCATCCACACCTCGTGGATGGCCTTCGTGGGTCAAGGTCTCAAATGGTTACCCTCATACCCAAACAACGGACCTTCAGGATTGGGCGTGAGCCCACCTATGGTCCGTAGGTCATGGGTCGTGGGTCACCACTGCTTGCTGTCTAACTTCGGCCAAGTGGAGGGGTTAAGTGGTAAATTCCTTTTTAAGTTAGATGAGTTAAGGGATGGTTATTATTGATTAATTAATATTTTAAATCTTTAAAAGCTATTAAAACTCATTTTCCAATTCATTACTTCAAATCATAAAATGGAAACCTCCAACCCTCTCCAAATAGTCTCTCTCTAGAAACCACCATTGGAGGTGAAGGATTCAAGCTTTCAAGATCAAGATCTCACCATTCCCACTCAAGTTTTGTGGAGTTCTTACCTAAAGGTATGGTAGTCTTCATCCTTGATTAAGTTTTATTCAAGAAGCCCTATCAAAAGAGGATTTGAAGTTTCCAAATTCCCCCAAAAACCATAGTTTTCAATCTATGCATGGGTTCAATTCCAAGACATTTTCAAAGGCTTTTATACGATGAATTATGAATGGATTGTTGAACTATTGATGAATTATGGTGAATTTCTCCTATGAACCCATGTCTTCCCCAAAATCCTAAATTGGAAGTTTGTGAATTGGGTTGATTGATCATGAAAGTATGTTAAATTGTTTAAGTTTATATTGAATTAGTTATTAAATCATGTTAATTCCCTTATATATTGTAGTATCTTATATTTTTGGGTTGTTATTGATGTACAGCCTTGGAGGGCAATTTCATCAAGGATCTATGTATGATCATGATGTGAAGTATATGTGTGTGATCTCAATGAATGTATTATGATCATTCTTAGAATGTAATTGTGTTATTATTTAAAGTATATTCTCAATTAACAGTCATGAATGATGATGATGATAGAATGTGAGTGGTTTTCTATAATGTGATGTTATATCTTGAATTGGTAGGCTTAGGCATCCTATTCATGTATAAATGAAAGTAATGTGGATTGATGTATCTTGAATTGGTAGGCTTAAGGCATCATTTTCTTTTATTGATAAATGTGATCATGAATAAACTATCTTGAATAAGTAGTCTTAGATATCATCTTCTTGTGTAATGAATGTTCCTTGACTTAATGATCATGGAATCGGTAGACCTAATGTTGGTAGCCCTTTCATGAGGAGTCAATGAATGAATGTAATGATAAACCTAGAATTGGTAGACTAATATTGGTAGCCCTTTCCTAAATGAATGATGAAGGATTCTAGTCAGTGTCGTGAACCGGTAGGCCTAATGTTGGTAGCCCTTCATGATGAATCTAGAAACTAATATGATCATAAACCTTGAAGCGAAAGACCAAATGTTGGTTGCCCTTTATTGTGTGAAATGATGAACCTTGAAGTGGTAGACGTAATGGTGGTGGCCTTTTCTAGGAAAGTCAATGAGCTATCCTTATAATGTACCTAGAAGTGGTAGACCTAATGGTGGTGGCCCTTTCAAGTGTAATGTACCTTGGGTTATTAGGCCTAACGTTTGTGGCCCTCTCAACTACGATAATGTAATGTGAATGAACTACTTTTCGGTGTGGGTTCCTGACACCAGATTCCATGTCAAGCTCACATGGTCTATGTCGGTTAATTCTTATTCCCATCATGTGAGGTGTGCACTATGGTTTCTTGAGAAGTTTTATGAAGTGTGGGTGGTAGTATGGGATGTCATCCATGCATTGCAAGAGTAGGCTTTGAGAGGGCTATAGTGAGTTCTCTAATGTCTTCATGACAAATGAATGGAAGTTCTCTAAATGAAGCTAATGAAAAATGTTGACTCATATGCTTAAATATAATGATGCATGCTATACTTGGATTGTATTATGAGTTACTTCCTTGTTATGACTTATGAAATGTTTATGTTCCTTATGTATGAGTATTGTCTAATGATGAAAAAGAAAGAATGGTAAGTTCACTTTTGGTGGTCCTAATGTGGTACTTAGTGTGGATGGTGGTATGGGACGCTATTCATACATAGCACAAAGTATGGCTTAGGGTTGCTTAAGGTCAAGGCTTTAAGGTGATGAGATGGCTTATATCTTGATTATGTCTCTAATATGATAAATTGACTTGTATGTTGGTTATGTTTGTATATTATGCCTCTTATACTTATGTTCATGAAGTTTTCTCAAATTGGCATAAAAAATGACTTTCAAATAAAATGTTTGTTTTAAGCGAGGTTTTGCATGGCTATCATACTTAGTACATTAAATGTGCTAACCCATATTTCTTCATTTTTTTACCAAGGTGTAGGTTTCGGCATTAGAGTTGATTCTCTCTAGTTGAAGCTTGGATTGAGTTCTTCCAAGACTATTGGTATGTCCTCATGGATTCGAGGACAAGTACTTTGATGTTTCATTTCTTTCATGTAATAGACATTTGTTAGACTTTCTATTGTAAAGGGTTGTGACCCTACTTTCATTTCCAAGATTGTTTTTAGATGGCCATGTGAGACCAGTAGACTTCCATTGTTTTAAATAAAGTTTTGATTGTGTGGATTAAAAGAGTTTTAATTCCATACCATATTCCTTATATCGAATGTTATGAATTCTATGATGCTTGTATGAGACTTTTCGAAGTCTTATATGTCGTGTTGCATCTAGGGGTACCCCTGGGTCGTGACAAACATGGTATCAGATCATAAGGTTTTGGGAATGGTTTTTAGGATTGATGTCTCATAAGCCACGTCTAGTATAGTCTTGTTCAAGGATGTGAGTCGCGACACATTTATGAATGAGAGGCTATAGGACGTTAGGAAGCTACACTTCTTTCATTATTTTGGAAGTCATGCCATAGAGTTTAGCTCTATAAAAGTCCTTTTCCTAACCCTTCTCTTGTGTTTATAGGATATGAATACAGGAAGGGCGGCTGCAAGAAGAGTGGAAGAGGAGATTGTAAATGAGAGAGTTCCTCCCCAAGGTTCTCAAGGTGACCAAGTTCATCAAGGCAATCAAGTTTCGGTGGATCCCCCCAGCTATGTCCAATGAGGAAGTTAGGTCGGCTCTTTTGATGATGGCTCAAGCCGTAACTACTCAAGCCCAAGCCATGACTGCTCAAGCTATTACGAGTATGACTCATGTGAACCCTATTGTGAGCACTATAGCTTCTAGGTTGAGAGACTTTGTGAGGATGAGTCCTCTGATATTTCTTGGTTCCAAGGTGGGAGAGGATCCCCAAGAGTTTATTGATGAGGTGTATAAGGTAGTCAATAATATGAAGGTGACTTTTATACAAAAAGTGGAACTTTCCTACCGATTGAAGGATGTTTCCCAAGTTTGGTTTACTCAATGGAAAAGCAATCGGCCGGTAGGAGCGGGTCCTATAGAATGGGAGGATTTTAAGAAAGAATTCCTTGGTAGGTTCCTCCCCCATGAGAAGAGGGAGGCTAAGGTGGAGGAGTTTATCAACCTTAATCAAGGTAGCATGAGTGTGCAATCCATGGTGTCTAACCCGAGGGATGAGATGAGTAGATATGTCACGGGTGTGTCTAAACTAGTTGAGAAAGAGTGTCGTACTGAGATGCTCAAGATTAAGAAAAAGAATAGGGAGATGAAGAGGTCTAGGTTTGATGAGCAAGGTCAACCAAGGTTCAAAAAGAGAGATTTTAACCAAGATTCTTGAAGAACTCACAGGGGTAACCAATAGAAAGGAAGTGGACCTCCATTTTCTTAACCTACTTGCCACAATTGTGGAAAGAAGCATCATGGAAAGTGCCTAGCCGGTATAAGTGGGTGCTATATTTGTGGAAAGAATGATCACCAAGTGAAAGATTGCCCTACTCTTACGGCCAAAGGAAGGGAGGTCAAACAAGCTTCCCTTATTGGCCCAGATCCTAATGCTCCAAAGAAAAATCATTTTTATGTACTTCAAGCTAAAGATATTAAAGGAGCTCATCCGGATGAAGGCAGCGGTATGTTGATAGTTTCTTATAGTTGTGAATGTTGTATCGAGGTTCCTATGCTATTTTCATGTTAGCCATAGTTTGGTTTGTTCTTAAGGGGGATATGGTATGTTGAATAATAAGGTTGTTGAGAGTTTTGATTTCCTTATCTCTTTCCTTCTATTGCTATTCAAGATTGAGACCAAGAGTTCCTTGTAGCTTGTTTCATGTTTTGGAGTCATGTGTGAATACCTGTTTCCATGGTCTCCTTATGTTATGCATGTTCTCGGTGAATTTATGTTTAAATGAGAAAATGAGTTTTTTTATGAATTATGTTCCTCATGTTGATGTGCATTTAGTATGAGTTGTCTATATGCTTCATGAGGTGAATTATTGAACATGCCTAAATGTGTTTTTAAGAGAAATTGCATAATGTGCCTAATGATGTTATGATGAGCATGAATTGAGTTGGAGAAGGAAATTCCTCCAATGAATTGAGAAATGTTGAGGTTTTCATGCATAATGAGTTTGTAGATGTAGTTCCTACTTTCTTGTGTTGCATTGAGTATGTTTTAGATGGAGTTGATGTTTCCTCCTAGTTTTGTGCATTGTTTATGATGTTGCATGCATGATGGGCTACTAGTCTTTAGTCTTTATTACCTTAAAGTGTTTAAAGTATCATTCAAGGATAAATGTTCCTAAGGGGGAGATAATGTAACGACCCAGAAAACTAGTAAGTGAAACTAGAGCCTGACGAGTTTGTGTTTGAGCTTGATGTGGGGTTTGAAGGTGTAGAATGATGTCCCAAGCGTAGGTTGAGGGGTTTAGGGGTTAAATGTCAAGGTACAACTCCCCAAGGACCACCCAACGGATCTTTGAGGAGGACCCTAAAGCCTAACCCCTAAGACCCTAAGAAACCAAAAAGCTGTCAAATATCTGGTGACTCACGGATGGGACCTATGCCCCATAGGTCCATCCATGCCCCGTGGATGGCCTTCGTGGGTCAAGGTCGCAAATGGTGACCCTGAAACCCAAACCACGGACCTGCAGGACGGGGAGTGATCCCACATACGGTTCGTAGGTCATGGGTCATAGGTCACCACTACTCGTTGTCTAATTTCAGCCAAGTGGAGGGGTTAAGTACTAAATTCCTTTTTAAGTTAGATGAGTCAAGGGACGGTTATTATTGATTAATTAAGGTATTTTAAATCTTTTAAAGGTATTAAAACTCCATTTCCAATTCATTACTTCAAATCACAAAATAGAAACCTGATGAGTCCACGATTTGGACTCTTTTAGGGCTTTATTTTGATAGATTTACTGTCCTCCAATGCATATTTTGTCTCAATAATTGATGAAAATCCTTGAGTTTCAGGTATTTCGAGTTCGAGACAAAACATGGACACTATTGGGCAAAAAGAAACAATGCAGTTGAAAGGATGAAGAAAAGACGGCCTGAAGATCGCTTAAACCATTAGGCGAGTCGCCGAAAGGCTATGGTCTCGCCTAATGTTCCAGTGTTCCAAGCTTTGAAGGAGAAAATCAATTTGGGGGGATAAAAGAACTGTCGGCGAGTTGCCGAACAATTCCGTGATGCAGTGCTTTATCTCCCAAAGTTACATAACCTGAATTTGCTGAAGGCCAATGTAGAAAGGCGATGAGCCTGACCAAAGGGCGGATCGCCGAGTGGATCGGCGATCCCAACTAACTGCATCAAGTAGTCCTTCGCAGCACACTTTTTGACAACTATAAATACTCGTTTGAACTTTTAGTTTAGTATGCAACCAGTATCAAATTTTAGAATATCAAACATTATTTTCAGTATTTAGAACTTAGAGTTTTGGAGACATTGTTCCTTAGCTTTGAAGCTTTGAAGATTTCCATTTCTAAGCAATTGGAAGTGGGTATTGATGATTCTTCATCTTAAACGTGTGTAAAGACAATATCTATCGTACCCACTTGATGGAAACACTCTTTGGTATCGATATCTATGTTTTTACTATGTCTAGCTAAAACCCCAATTCTTGGAGTGTGATTATGTGAATATGGGTTGAATTTACTGTTGGTTATTGCTAATTTATAGTTGATTTGTTGTTTAAAGGTGATTTCGTTCAGTAGTTGTGTTTGAATTTAATGGGGTTGTAGTTGCAAAAACAATTTTATCTTCGTGTTTTTGACTTGCTCGAGAGAGAGGTTTTAAAACTAAAACTACTAAATCGATAGTCAGTGGTTATTGGGTTGTCATGGGTTCATATCGAGAGTGTGAATCCTAAACCCTCTCCCACATATTTAGCTCGAGAGAGTGAATGGACTAAAGCGAAGGTTGTGCTTCATTGCCGCTTATCGGTGTTCGAGAGAAACCGATTTGATTCGGGGTAAATTGTTTGAGATAAAATTTACCCTCACTAAAGTCTAACTTAGTTACCAATTTTCAGCAATTTATTATTAATAGCATTTACCCGGTTGTTTAATTTAGCCCATAATCCTATGACATCCCAAGAATCCTGTCTCCATATTTGTATTTCTATATTATTTGTTGTTTCTAGTTGATAATTGACTACAGAAACCCCTTCGATAATTGACACTTGTGTCACCCTTTAATTTGATATGTCTTTCTTCGTATATGTCTTTAGCTATAATTGACTTCAGCTAAGTTCTTGCTTTTCTCTTAATTCTCGATTACAAACCACTCCCTTGGGACTCAACCCCAACTCACTAGTTGGGTTATATTACTATTGAACGATCGTAGACGTTTAGTATTGGATGAACTGCCTGGATACGTCAAGTCAAAATGGCTCCGCTGCCGGGGAGTGGTGTTAATTGAGAATTTTTAGTTAAGTTGATTTTTTCTATTGTTAGTTATAGTTCTACTTACTTTATTTTTAGTTTTGTTTTGCTTGTTTGTTTATTACAGCAGGAAGAATGAGTATGAATGGTGAAAATGTTTACTAAATGGATCATCCCTTTTTGAAACTGTTGAATCTTAGGGATAACCTCCTAATGTTCAAGCAATTGGGAGGTGAGACTATCTATGAGATGTGGCTGAGATTTAGAGCAATACTGCAGCAACGCCCAACTCATGGAATGCCTGATAAAGTGCTACTAGAATGCTTTTATAGGGGTCTTGGTCCCGAAAATAGAAGTATCGCTGACCAACTCTTTGCGGGTGGTTTGATACAACAACCCTATGAAGCAGTAGCCCAACTCCTTGATGGCATGGTTAAGACCAACAAGGAAACAGAAAAAAACCAAGAATTGGCGGCATTGTTGACTCAGTTGGATGTCTTGTCCAAGAAAGTCATGGAATTGGAAGTGCAGTCCACAAAAAAGGACAAGAACTTTCCCCCTCGCGAGCGTCAAAAGGTGAAGAAGCAGGAGGGTGGAAAAAATGAAGAGGTCCTCTCACTCATTCTACACAAGATCGAAAAATAAGATAAGGTGTTAAATGAGATAAAAAAGAATATCAAAATGTTGAATCAGACGACAACCTTTCATTCCGTGATTATTCAGCTACAGGACGCCCAGATAAACCAATTGTTGTCAAGTCTCTACTCACATCATAAAGAGGGGTCACCTAGTGACACCATGGTCAACCTCGAAAATGAAGTTTAGGTGTTGACTTGCGCCGTGCTACGACATTAAATAAGGCGCTTCTTGGGAGGCAACCCAAGGTTTTATCGCTTTAAATTGTTATTTTAAAATAATGGTGTGTTAATTGTGCAGGTTAAAGTGTGGGAAATGTATGAAAAGTGCAGATCGGTGAGCTAAAGTCCAGTCGACAAAACACCGAAGAGGTCGGTGACCCCGACCTAGACCGCCGTTAGACTCAAGAAAACTTTAAGGTAGAGTCTGTAAAACTCGGCGAGCCCAGGAAATTATTGGCGAATCGCCGATCAAGTCGGCGATCTCGATATTGTTCGTCGTTTGGATACCCACATCAACTGAGGGTCCTATAAAACTCAGCGAGGTAAGTGACCACTCGGCATGTCGCCGAGTGGGTTGACAATCACGACTAACATTGCCGAATGGGCGAGAACTGGACGGTTTATTAAGGACCAAAGGTTTAAATTTCAAACTCTTTCATTTTTCCTTCATTTTTCATCTCCCCAAACTCGCACCTATTGAGTATTTTCACTATTTGTGCACTATATAAGTATTTCAGTTGATCGATTGGTGCTTGGATTTGGATTACATTGCCGCCTAGCTTTTCAATCTTATTTTTATTGGCATTTAAGGTTGGTTTTCCGAATCCCGCATTTAGTTTTAGTAATTTATACTCTTATGCAAGCAATATTGTGTTGTTGATGTGTGTTGAGCCTCTCTGATAGGATTAGAATGTTTAAATGCCTGTTTTAAATTTGAATATCCTGCCCGTAACGTTTTGAATGGCAAATTCTCATCTTTCTGTGCTCTAAAATGAAGTAAATTTTGTGGGGTTGTACTTGCATGTTATTTGGCTTGGTTGGGTGAAGTCTGATTAGCCCGTATTTGTGCCAAACAATGTAATTTGCCTAATGATAGAGTGAGTGACTTCATTTTTAAGGGCAAATGTCGTCAATTGGCTAAATTTGGCAGAATTGGAAGAAGTCTAAGTATCCCAGGGTAATGAGTGTTATGGGTCTTGTTTGAATTTGAGTTGTGCATGGTTTGATTTTGTTTTCGGGGGTTGCGGGATTGTATTCGAGAAGTTGGGTTGACAATAGGCACGTTGGGTCATTTGGCGAGCTAGGTCGAGCTCACCGAACCACTCGACGGTTCACCTTATGTCCCCATCTCACCTTTAATTTTATACTTTATGTGTTGTTAGATTCTGTAACTTTCGGTGAGAAACCTGAGGTCGCCGAAGGCACTCGGTGATTCACCGAAAGACTTCTTGATCGCCCTTTGTTTGCACCCCTGAGTCCTTTTTGCACTGTAACTTTTGGAGGGATAACCCTTGATCACCGAAAGTCAAAGGCGATTCACCAAAAGGCCTTTCCCATCACCGACTTGTCGAGAATTGTGAGCCATCCTTTTGGCGAGCCCGACCTAGCTCACCAAAGCTATTTGGTGACTCGCCGACTGGTTTGACGAGTTTATCTGCAAACTATTTTTCCTATGAATTTGATTAATGTATATCTAACTTTTCCCAATGTTTTGCAGACATGGTTGTGTCTAAAGTTGCAGGAAGACACATGCCACCCCGAGGGAAAGCAAATGGGATAACACTGAATGAGAATGTAGTTGCATCCAAGGGAAAAGCGATGAAACTTTCCACAATTAGTGGGAAAGGCAAAGGTAAAGGCAATGCACCTGCGTCACCGGAGGCAAGCTCTGATAGTGACGGCATCTATGATACTTACCTCACCACCTCTGAGAGTGAGGGTGAGCATCAGGAGCCTCAAATTATGGCGTCTGATGATGATGAGCTTGTAGCAGCGCAAAGGGCAGAGCTATGATCTAAAAAGTTAAATGATCGTCTAGGATCCAAAGTCCTCGGGCTGCCCCTCATCTTCCACTTCCAGAGCAAGCAATGTTCTTACACCACCAATACAGGGTCCTCCTCCCAAGTCAATGAACAGATTAAAGACTCAGGGGTTCAGGCTGATCCTTGAGGAGAAGCGTCTATTCACGGATGGAGTGACTGACAGGTACCCGAAGATAATGGATTGCCTAAAATATCACAAGTTCCAAATCTTCACCAAACCCCATGGCTCTTATATTTCAAACTGGGTCAGAGAATTCTACAATGCATACAGTGCATTGATACCCTACAGGAAGCAGCAAGCAGCAGCTTTCAAAGCAGTTGACTACATGGTTGTTAGAGGACGGAAGGTAAATTGTGATAGTGTTGCTATCAACATAGTCTTTGGCATGTCCACGCATATTAATGATCACTGCCAGCACTTGATCAGAACAGAGAAGCTGGAAAAGATGAAGAAGTGGTTAGCCCCACTGATTTCAGATGGTACTCTGAAGTGGTTGGAGGAAAGGTCTCTAATTAAAAAGAAAGATATGAACGTAGCTACAAGATTTTGGTTCGGCTTTATCAGCATCACAATTATGCCATCCCAGAATGAGTCGATCCTTTGCCTTGCTAAGGAAGCCTGTCTGGGTTTCATCATAGAGGAAACCAAGATAAATCTGGGGATAACAATAGCACAGGAAATGCTCATGTGTGCAAAGCAGCGCCAGACCTCACTTTCCTTCCCGGTATTGATAACTGAGTTGTCCAAATGGGCTCGGGTACCTAGAGATGAAAAGAAGGATGTGGAAGTGATTCCCACATCCTCCACTGATATCTGGAGGATCGAAGCTGAACATCTTAAGGATCACGCAGAGAAGATGCAAAAAACAGCCCCGGTGGACCCTTCCCCGGCTGTGGACACATACTCTATACCTGCAGAGGCATCTTTGCCTATTCTGACCTTGGGCCTTCAGATACTCCTTCTGTTGTATCTTCTGATGTCCCTAGTTCTTTTGTTGCTGTACTGCCTCC